GATCACAAAGAGCAGAGATCCCAGAACAGATCCCTGTGGTCACCGAGCTCCAGGCTGAATACTTTCCATCTGCTACCACCCTCTGTCTTCTATTGGACAGCCAATTCTGTATCCAGACAGCCAAATTTCCCTGTATCCCATGCCTCCTTACTTTCTGAATGAGCCTACCATGGGGAACCTTATCAAATGCCTTGCTAAAATCCATATACACCACATCTACTGCTCTGCCTTCATCGATGTGTTTTGTCACATCCTCAAAGAATTCACTGAGGCTTGTGAGGCATGACCTGCCCCTCACAAAGCCATGCTGACTATTTCTAATCAAGTTGTGCTTTTCCAAATAATCATAAATATTACGTCTCAGAATCCTCTCCAATAATTTGCCCACCACAGAAGTAAGACTGACCGGTCTGTAATTCCCAGGATTATCCCTGTTCCCTTTCTTGAACAAGGGAATGACATTTGCCACCCTCCAATCATCTGGTGCTACTCCAGTGGACAGTGAGGACGCAAAGATCATCGCCAAAGGGGCAGCAATCTCTTCCCTCGCTTCCCGTAGGAACCTTGGGTATATCTCATCTGGCCCAGGGGACTTATCTATCCTCATGTTTTTCAAAATTTCTAGCACATCCTCCTTCCTAACATCAACCTGTTACCTGAAAATTAATACCTGAAATGAGGAAAGGTTGGACAGACTGTGATTGTTTCCATTGTAGTTTAAAAGCATAAGAGATGACTGAAGAGTGTAAGATCCTGCATGGCCTTGACAATGTGAAAAGGTGGTTTTCTCTTGCGGATCAGTCTGGAACTAGGAGGAGCTGTCTGAAATTTACAGATCACCCAAATTAGGCAGAAATGAAGCAAATCTTTTTTTGTGTCAATGATTTTCGGGACTTTGGAACTCTCTGTCTAAGTAGTGGGGTCATTGAATATTTTTAAGGTGGAGGTGAGTAGATTCTGGTTAAGCAGAGGAATCGAGGGTAGGTGGGATGTGGAATTTGAAACATAAATACACCAGCATTGATCTTATTGAATGGCAGAGCAAGCTCAAGGGGCCAATGGTCTACTTGTGGTCCCAATTTGTACATGCGTCACTCTCTCTCCCAATGTCTCTAGGCAGTGACACCCTTTTCAGGCAGTCTCTCTCTCTCTCCCCTCCCCACCCCCTATTCCCTCCCTCCCTCCCCCCTCCCCCTCCCCCCCCCATTCCTCCTCTCTTGCCCCCATTCTCCCCCTCCCCACTCCCCCTCTTTCACCCATTCCCCCCAGTCCATCTCTCTCCCCCCACTCTCCCCCTCCCTCTCTGTTCCCTCTCCCCGTTACCCGCTTCCACCATTCCCCCCCTCCCCGCTCCCCCTCTTTCTCCCCAATTCCCCCTTTCCCCTGTATTCCCTGCCTTGTCCCCTGTTCCCCCCACTCCCCCCTCTCCCCATTCCCTCTCTCCCTTCGTACCAGTTGATGTGCAATTTCGTATCCATCTGGGTTCATGGAGGGCAGTAGGTGGATGCGGGTGCTGTGAATCAGTTCTACAATGCGGGGCTCTTGCTGTAGGTATTTCTGACACAGGAACTGCATCAGTAGGATCAGGAGCTCCCGGCCCAGAACCTCGTTCCCGTGCATTCCCGCAACATACCGAAACTCTGGCTCTCCTGAAAAATCCAAGCACAGCCACAATTCACAGGGAATTCCAGGCAAATTTCCCAAAGGCAATCCCAAATTGTACCCACAAACCCTGGATTGGACCCCCATTCCCACCCCCTGAGGAAATCACACTTACCCAATTCGTGGACTCCTGGATTGTCGGATATCTCCAGGACGTAGAGTTTGAGACCGCGGTAACTTTTGCCAATGCTGTAAATCCTGGTGATAGACGGGCACTGTCTGCGAACCTCCCTCATCACCTGGAGACACACAGAGAGGGTCAAACAACAACAAAATCAAGGACACGGTCACCAAGCCCCTCCCATCAGGCACCAAGCCTCTCTCCCATTCACCAAGCCCCTCCCATCAGGCACCAAGCCACTCCCACTATGCACCAAGCCCCGCCCTAGGCACCAAGCCCCTCCCACCAGGCACCACACCCCTTACCCAGGCACCAAGCCCCTCCCCCAGTCACC